CATTGCGGCGCCGGGTCTGGCCCCAGGGGCGGTGGCGGGCGGTTGGGCGGGGGCTGCATGGCCACCATGAGATGGGTTCTCAATGGCTGGAGATGTTGAGGTTGGATTTAGGACATCTTGCTTGGTTTTGCATCTTCTTCTTGGTGTCTTCGTTGTTGGGCGTCCTCTCAAGGCATCTTCATCCTCTTTCACATAGAAAAATTGCCCATCCATCTTGCATCGTCTCTTGGTGTCCTCCCTATTGGATGGCTTCCCAGGGCGTCTTCGTGGTTCTTTGCATTTCTTCACATGCAAGATAAATCCCTTCATCTTGCGTCATGTCTTGGTGTCTTCGGTGTTGGGCGTCCTCTCGGGTCATCTTCATCCTCCTTCACGCGCCAGAAAGATCACACACGGTCTTGCATCGTCTCTTGGTGTCGTTGGCACCAGCTGATTTTCCAGATCATCTTCATCCTGCTTCACGTGCAAAAAATGTCCCTCCATCTTCTGTCATCTCTTGGTGTCCTTAGCATGCCCTTTGTATGCCAACCACCTTCTTCCATCCTGTGTCATCCTCTCCTGGCGTCCTTACCATTGGGTGTTCTCCCAGGGCATCTCTGTCCTCCTGCAGGTCCAGGCCATCTCCCTCCGTCCTGCACCATCTTTAGTGTTCTCGGCATCGGGTGTCCGTGTTGGGTGGGACATCTTCAAGCCTCATCATGTGCAAGTCACCTTGGTCCCTCTTGCATCATCCTCTTTTGATGTTCTCAGCTCCAGATGCCCTCTTGGGGCCTCTCCACCCTCCTTCACCTTCAAAACACCTCCATCTGTCTTGTACCAGCTCTTGGTGTCTTTGACACCAGTTGTCCTCCATGGTCTTCAACGAGCAAGCCATTTGCCTCTGACTCATACCATCTCTTGGTGGCCCTGGCACTGGGTACCTTCCTGGGGCACCTTCATGTGCAAGCCACCTTTGTCCATCCTGCCTCATCTTCTCCTGGTGCCTTCAGCATTGGATTGCCTGCTGGGGCATCTCCATCCTTGTTTATGTGCAAGCCACCGCCTGTCATCTCAAACTATCTCTCAGTGTCTTTGACACCAGGTGTCCTCCGTGCTCCTTCAGGTGCATGACACCTCCCTCCACCTCAAACTGTCTCTTGGTGTCCTGGATGCCAGGTACCCCCCCAGAACATCTCCATGCTCCTTCATGTTCAAGCCTCTTCCTTCCATTGTGTGTCACCTCCTGGTGTCCTTGACACTGGCTGCCCTCCCAGGACATCTCCATCCTTCTTCGCATCCTGCTGTCCTGCACCATCTTTCAATGTCTTTGGGACTGAGTGGACTCCTGTGGCATCTTTGTGCTCCGTCATTTCAAAGCCACCTTCCTCCATCCTGCGTCATTGCTTCTTGATGTCATCAGCATTGGGCGCCCTCTTGCAGCATCTTCATCTCCCTTCATATCCAATCCACCTCCCTCTATCTTGCATCGTCTTTTGGAGTCCTCAGAACCAGGTGTCTTCCTGGGGCATCCCCATCCTCCTTCACGTGCAACACCACCTTCCTTCATGTTGCACCATCATCTCTTGATGTCCTCTGTACCAGGTGACCTCCTGGAGTATCTCCATCCTCCTCCACGTGCAAGGCGTCTCCATCCACCTCACATCATCTCCTGGTGTCCTCGGCACTGGGTGTCCTCCTGGGGCATCTCCATCCTCCTTCACATGCAAAACCACCTTCCTCTGTATTGCACCATCATCTCTTGATGTCCTCTGCAGTAGGTGACTTCCTGGAGCATCTCCATCCTGCTCCATGTGCAAGGTGTGTCTATCCACCTCACATCATCTCCTGGTGTCTTTCTGGGGCATCTCCATCCTCCTTCACATGCAAAACCACCTTCCTCTGTGTTGCACCGTCATCTCTTGATGTCCTCTGCACCAGGTGACCTCCTGGAGCATCTCCATCCTCCTCCACGTGCAAGGCGTCTCCATCCACCTCACATCATCTCCTGGTGTCCTCGGCACTGGGTGTCCTCCTGGGGCATCTCCATGCTCCTTTGCATCCCACCACAGATGCTGCAACTTGCCTGTGCCCTCCCGTCGCCCCAGCACATGCACCAGGTTGCATCACTGCTCAGCTCCCCACCGGCACGTCCTGCCGCTGGGCTCCTGCCCCCAACTCCTGCCCCCAATGGGACACCGCTCATCCCACCACGAGCCCCAGCATGGCTTTGCCATCCAGCCCAGGCTCAAGGACAATCCTTCAACCCCGTTTCCCTGCTCCGCTCATGCCACCACCTCTTGCCGCGAGCTCAGATGGAGGGAAACCATGACGCTGCTGACCCATCTTCTTCCTTTCCCACCCCGCAGCCGACATCGCCCGCAACATGGGTGCCAAGACGGTGATCGCCATCGACGTGGGCAGCCAGGACGAGACGGACCTGTGCAACTATGGGGACAGCCTGTCTGGCTGGTGGCTTCTCTGGAAACGTCTCAACCCCTGGGCTGAAAAAGTCAAGGTGAGGACTGGTGGGACGCGGGGATGCCGGTGAGATGGTGCGGATGGGGTGTTGAGCGCCTCGTCCTCGCAGGTGCCCGACATGGCGGAGATCCAGTCCCGCCTGGCCTACGTGTCGTGCGTGCGGCAGCTGGAGGTGGTGAAGTCCAGCTCATACTGCGAGTACATCCGCCCCCCCATCGACCGCTTCAAGACCATGGATTTCCGCAAGTTTGATGAGATCTACGTGAGTTGGGGGACGGGGAGGTTGGTGGGGTGGCCTGGACTAGCTTAGAGTGCCTCAGGCCAACAATGAGATGCCCCAAGCCATAGGTTGAGGTTCTCCAGCCATCAGTTGGGGGTGTTCCGGCTGTTGATTGGGGTGCCCTGGCCATTAACAGGGTGCCCTGGCCACTAATGGGTTGCCTCAGATGTAGATTTGAGTGCCCGTCCATTGGTTAGGTGTCTAGGCCAGTAACAGGGTCTCCTGGCTATCAGGTAGAGTCAACCAGCAATTGATTGAGTGCCCCAGCCACCATTTGGGGGTGCTCTGGTCCATCGATTGGGGTGTCCTGGCCATCGGTGGGGTGACCTGGCCATCAGTGGGGTGACCTGGCCATCAGTTGGGTGCTCAAGCCATCATTCAGGTGCCTCAGCCATTAATGGAGTGACTAGAACATCATCTGGGGGTGCCCGAGCCATCGTTTGGGGTGCTTGGGCCATCAATTGCCACATCCTGGCCATTATTTGGGGTGCCTGGGCCATCATTCCGGGTACCTAGGTCATCATTTGGGCTTCCCTGACCATCAGTTGGGCCACCTGGGCCATTGGTTGGGTGCCCCAGCCATCAATGGGGTACCTTTGGCCATCGTTTGGGGTGTCTTGACGAGGTTGAACAATCCCAGTCATCATTTGGGCTACCTCGGCCATCAGTTGGGTGCCTCAACCATCGATGGGGTGTCCTGGGCCATCAGTTGAGATGTCCTACCCATCAGTTGGGTGCCTGAGCTGTCATTTGGGTTGCCCGGGGCCACCGATGGGCTGTGGCCGCTCTCCCTGCAGGACGTGGGCTACCAACACGGCAAAGTGGTCTTCGACGGTTGGAGCCGGGGTGACATCATTGAGAAGATGGTGAAGGACCGGCGCTCGGCCGACTTCTACGAGAGCAAACGCATGGATGTGAGCAGGGGGTGGCACCGGGACCCGTGGGTGGTGGTGGTGGCTGCCTGGGGACCTGCCCTGGGGCATCCTGGGATGGGCCACCTTGTCCCCGGCACCCTGATTTTGGGCATTTTTTTCTTTCCCCTGGCCCTGGAGCCATCTTCAGGGTGCAGGACATCGCCGCGCCCCTTGTCCCCTCTGTCTCCCCTGTGTCCTTCTACCCCTCCTGCTGCAGGTTGTCCCCTTTGGTGTTCTCCTGTCCCTCACTGCCATCTTCCTGTCCCTCCCCACCCTACCTGAGCCTCCCGTCCCCTTGGGCCATCCTCCTGCCCCTGCCACCCTGGTCCATCTCCTGTCCCTCCCCAGCATCATTCTGTCCTCTTGGTCCATCGTTCTGTGCCCTCCACCTTGGTCCATCCTCCTGTCCCCCACCCCCGGTGTCCTCCTGTCCCCTCCTCACTCCATCCTCATGTGTCTTGGTCCATCTCCTGTCCCTCATTGGTGTCCTCCTGTCCCTTCCTTGGTCCAGCTCCTGTCCCCTTCAGCATCTTTGTCCCCTCCTTCCATCTCCTGTCCCCTCCACCCTGGTCCATCTCCTGTCCCTCACTGGCATCCCTCTCTCCATCATCATTTTGTTCCCTTAGTCCATCTCCTGTTGCCTTGGTCCATCTCCTGTCCCTCACTGGTGTCCTCCGGTCCCTTCCTTAGTCCACCTCCTGTCCCCCTCCCCATCACCCTTTTGTCCCCTTAGTCCATCTCTGTTGCTTTGGTCCATCTCCTGTCCCCACCACTACCCCCCATCCCTCTGTCCCCTCCTTGGTCCATCCCCCGTCCCTCACTGGTGTACTCCTGTCCCCTCCTCGGTCCATCTCCTGTCCCCGCCTTGGTCCGTCCCGTCGGTGTCCTCCTGTCCCCTCCTCGGTCCATCTCCTGTCCCCGCCTTGGTCCGTCCCGTCGGTGTCCTCCTGTCCCCTCCTCGGTCCATCTCCTGTCCCCGCCTTGGTCCGTCCCGTCGGTGTCCTCCTGTCCCCTCCTCGGTCCATCTCCTGTCCCCGCCTTGGTCCGTCCCGTCGGTGTCCTCCTGTCCCCTCCTCGGTCCATCTCCTGTCCCCGCCTTGGTCCGTCCCGTCGGTGTCCTCCTGTCCCCTCCTCGGTCCATCTCCTGTCCCCGCCTTGGTCCGTCCCGTCGGTGTCCTCCTGTCCCCTCCTCGGTCCATCTCCTGTCCCCGCCTTGGTCCGTCCCGTCGGTGTCCTCCTGTCCCCTCCTCGGTCCATCTCCTGTCCCCGCCTTGGTCCGTCCCGTCGGTGTCCTCCTGTCCCCTCCTCGGTCCATCTCCTGTCCCCGCCTTGGTCCGTCCCGTCGGTGTCCTCCTGTCCCCTCCTCGGTCCATCTCCTGTCCCCGCCTTGGTCCGTCCCGTCGGTGTCCTCCTGTCCCCTCCTCGGTCCATCTCCTGTCCCCGCCTTGGTCCGTCCCGTCGGTGTCCTCCTGTCCCCTCCTCGGTCCATCTCCTGTCCCCGCCTTGGTCCGTCCCGTCGGTGTCCTCCTGTCCCCTCCTCGGTCCATCTCCTGTCCCCGCCTTGGTCCGTCCCGTCGGTGTCCTCCTGTCCCCTCCTCGGTCCATCTCCTGTCCCCGCCTTGGTCCGTCCCGTCGGTGTCCTCCTGTCCCCTCCTCGGTCCATCTCCTGTCCCCGCCTTGGTCCGTCCCGTCGGTGTCCTCCTGTCCCCTCCTCGGTCCATCTCCTGTCCCCGCCTTGGTCCGTCCCGTCGGTGTCCTCCTGTCCCCTCCTCGGTCCATCTCCTGTCCCCGCCTTGGTCCGTCCCGTCGGTGTCCTCCTGTCCCCTCCTCGGTCCATCTCCTGTCCCCGCCTTGGTCCGTCCCGTCGGTGTCCTCCTGTCCCCTCCTCGGTCCATCTCCTGTCCCCGCCTTGGTCCGTCCCGTCGGTGTCCTCCTGTCCCCTCCTCGGTCCATCTCCTGTCCCCGCCTTGGTCCGTCCCGTCGGTGTCCTCCTGTCCCCTCCTCGGTCCATCTCCTGTCCCCGCCTTGGTCCGTCCCGTCGGTGTCCTCCTGTCCCCTCCTCGGTCCATCTCCTGTCCCCGCCTTGGTCCGTCCCGTCGGTGTCCTCCTGTCCCCTCCTCGGTCCATCTCCTGTCCCCGCCTTGGTCCGTCCCGTCGGTGTCCTCCTGTCCCCTCCTCGGTCCATCTCCTGTCCCCGCCTTGGTCCGTCCCGTCGGTGTCCTCCTGTCCCCTCCTCGGTCCATCTCCTGTCCCCGCCTTGGTCCGTCCCGTCGGTGTCCTCCTGTCCCCTCCTCGGTCCATCTCCTGTCCCCGCCTTGGTCCGTCCCGTCGGTGTCCTCCTGTCCCCTCCTCGGTCCATCTCCTGTCCCCGCCTTGGTCCGTCCCGTCGGTGTCCTCCTGTCCCCTCCTCGGTCCATCTCCTGTCCCCGCCTTGGTCCGTCCCGTCGGTGTCCTCCTGTCCCCTCCTCGGTCCATCTCCTGTCCCCGCCTTGGTCCGTCCCGTCGGTGTCCTCCTGTCCCCTCCTCGGTCCATCTCCTGTCCCCGCCTTGGTCCGTCCCGTCGGTGTCCTCCTGTCCCCTCCTCGGTCCATCTCCTGTCCCCGCCTTGGTCCGTCCCGTCGGTGTCCTCCTGTCCCCTCCTCGGTCCATCTCCTGTCCCCGCCTTGGTCCGTCCCGTCGGTGTCCTCCTGTCCCCTCCTCGGTCCATCTCCTGTCCCCGCCTTGGTCCGTCCCGTCGGTGTCCTCCTGTCCCCTCCTCGGTCCATCTCCTGTCCCCGCCTTGGTCCGTCCCGTCGGTGTCCTCCTGTCCCCTCCTCGGTCCATCTCCTGTCCCCGCCTTGGTCCGTCCCGTCGGTGTCCTCCTGTCCCCTCCTCGGTCCATCTCCTGTCCCCGCCTTGGTCCGTCCCGTCGGTGTCCTCCTGTCCCCTCCTCGGTCCATCTCCTGTCCCCGCCTTGGTCCGTCCCGTCGGTGTCCTCCTGTCCCCTCCTCGGTCCATCTCCTGTCCCCGCCTTGGTCCGTCCCGTCGGTGTCCTCCTGTCCCCTCCTCGGTCCATCTCCTGTCCCCGCCTTGGTCCGTCCCGTCGGTGTCCTCCTGTCCCCTCCTCGGTCCATCTCCTGTCCCCGCCTTGGTCCGTCCCGTCGGTGTCCTCCTGTCCCCTCCTCGGTCCATCTCCTGTCCCCGCCTTGGTCCGTCCCGTCGGTGTCCTCCTGTCCCCTCCTCGGTCCATCTCCTGTCCCCGCCTTGGTCCGTCCCGTCGGTGTCCTCCTGTCCCCTCCTCGGTCCATCTCCTGTCCCCGCCTTGGTCCGTCCCGTCGGTGTCCTCCTGTCCCCTCCTCGGTCCATCTCCTGTCCCCGCCTTGGTCCGTCCCGTCGGTGTCCTCCTGTCCCCTCCTCGGTCCATCTCCTGTCCCCGCCTTGGTCCGTCCCGTCGGTGTCCTCCTGTCCCCTCCTCGGTCCATCTCCTGTCCCCGCCTTGGTCCGTCCCGTCGGTGTCCTCCTGTCCCCTCCTCGGTCCATCTCCTGTCCCCACCTCTGCCCCCCATCCCTCTGTCCCCTCCTTGCTCCATCCTGTCCCTTGCTCCATCTCCTGTCCCCCCAGCCTCTTGTCCCTCTCCCTGTTGTCCCCCACTGCCCTCCCACCCCCTTAACCTCACATCTCTCCTCCCGCTCTCCCCGTCCTCACCCCTCTCGCACATGGGGGGGGCGCTGCTCGGGGTGGGGGCCCCCTTTTTTTTCCTCCCGTAGGTTCTCACGTGTCCCAGCGCCGGTTTCACCGACCTGGCGGAGATCGTGTCCCGCATTGAGCCGGCCAAACCCTACTTGTCCGACGGATACGCAGACGGTGAGCTGGAGGGTTGGGGGTCCCACTGTAGGGGGCCACATCCAGAGCCGGGAGCTGACCCGTCACCCCCTCTTGTCCCCGTCACCCCTCCGCAGAGGAGTCTGACTACCTCACCGAGTACGAGGACGAGGGGCCGGAGCCAACACGGGGCGAGGAGGACGCGTTCGCCCCCGCCGAGTGGGCCGGCGCCGGCGTCTTGGAGGCTGTGAGTGTCCCTGGTCGTGGAGACCCTCCTAAATGGGGTGTCCCCTGGGTTTGGGGGCTCCCGAGGGTGCCCTGACCCAGTGCATGGGGTGGCCCTGGGGCAGATTCTGCTCCTGGTCATGGAGACCCTCCAAAATGGGGTGTCCCCTGGGTTTGGGGGCGCCCGAGGGCGTCCTGACCCCCTGAGTGGAGGCGTGTGGTCATGGAGACCCTCCAAAATGGGGTGCTCCTGGGTTTGGGGGTTCCCGATGGCATCCTGACCCCCTGAGTGGAGGCGTGTGGTCACGGAGACCCTCCAAAAGGGGGGTGCTCCTCAGTTTTGGGGTTCCTGAGGGTGCCCTGACCCCACGTGTAGGGTGCCACGGGGGTAGATACTGTCCCTGGTTTTGGAGACCCTCCAAAATGGGGTGTCCCTGATCCTGTGCGTGGGAGCATGTGGCCATGGAGACCCTCCAAAATGGGGCGTCCCCTGGATTTGGGGCATCCCAAGGGTGTCCTGAGCCCCTGCATGGGGGTGCGTGTGGTCATGGAGACTCTCCATAATGGGGTGTCCTTCCAAAATGGGGTGTCTGTGGGTTTGGGGGCTCCCGAGGGTGCCCTGACCCCATGCATGGGGTGGCCCTGGGACAGATCCTGCTCCTGGGTGCTGCACTGTGTCCCCCTCCCAGTGTCCCCCACATGTCCCCCAGCTCCCTGTGGTCTTGGGGACAGCTCAGACCCCACTCATGCTGCACTGTGTCCCCATCCCAGTGTCCCCCATGTGTCCCCCAGCTCTCTGTGCTCTTGGGGACACCCTGAACCCATGGGTGCTGCACTGTGTCCCCATCCCAGTGTCCCCCTGCAGTCTTGGGGATGGCCTGGACCCCATGGGTGCTGCACTGTGTCCCCATCCCAGTGTCCCCCTGCGGTCTTGGGGACAGCCCGGACCCCACGGGTGCTGTACCGTGTCCCCATCCCAGTGTCCCCCAGCTCTCTGTGCTCTTGGGGACACCCTGAACCCATGGGTGCTGCACCGTGTCCCTGTCCCTGTGTCCCCCACGTGTCCCCCTGTGTGCTTGGGGACAGCCTGGCACCTACGGGCGCTGCGTGTCCCCATCCCAGTGTCCCCAGCATGTCCCATCTCTCCACAGGAGGAGGAGAAGACCCTACGGCACCGCCCGAGCCGGGACCCC